TCCCGCCGCCCGGTCCCGCACTCCGCCAGATTCCCCGGCGGGCCCGCCGGGAGCCAGAAGGTCTGCTGCGCGGGAGAGGGAGTGGCTGGCGCGGGAGCCGGGTTCAAGCAGCCCCGCCCCTGGGGGCGAATGCTGTAGTGAACTTGGCCTTGGGAGAGCTAATTTTCCTTTTAGTGATATTTACCTGCACCCCATCCTTTCCCACGTTTACTTTTCCAGGGCAGCCTCTTCTCGTCTTCAGAAGCCAGGCAAATTAAAATAAGGCTCCAGCTCCCTTGCATGATGCGGGGCAAAGCTGCTGGGCTGACGCTGGCAGGGTGACTACGGGCCCCTGTTGGGTGTTCTGGGTTTCTCTCTTCTTGCCCTGGGATTGCGTGAAGTTACTAGACGATATGTTTAAAATTTTATTTAAAGAAATGAGACCCCAGCTGCCTGAAAACAGAGACCAAGCCCGTTTGTTACCACCACAACGCCTAGCTCTCCAGCGCCAGGAGGAGGCCAGAGGAGGCCCTGAGTTTCAGCCCTGAGCCCACCCTGGACACCTCTTCCTAAGGATCCGGGGCCCAAATCAAACAGCAAGTACAATTCTGAGAACTGTGGAACTTCATCCTTTCATTTTAAGACACTCCTGCCTTTGATGGAATCGTGTATAAGTATAGTTGATTCATAACTCGGTCCAGGGCTTACATTATCCAGTGTTATATGATGGTGTAAGAAACACCCAAGTTTAGGGAATTGAACAGAAATGCGCACACACAGAGAGCCTCTCTGCCATGTGGCTGTGGTCTTGGTGTGCCTGGGAAGACCTGTGATCAGGCGGCATGTCCCTGGAAGGCAGGCACATGGATGGTTTGAGCTGATGGCTTGGAGGTGTGTGCAAATGTCTTGTCAGGATGGTGGGGGCTTATGTGGATGCAGTGTGGATGTGTACATAGACCCCATTTGTATCTACACTCTGCCAGTGTATGTGTGTGTGTGTGCATGAGTTCACACCCACCAGGCTGAACCCTCCCCCTCCCCTTTCCCTCAGGACATGTCAGCAGAGGCCAATAACTTTGTTCGAAACATCTCGAACATCATCTTGGGGCACTGACACTTACCTCCCAGGATCTCACAGTGGAGAGGAATATAGTTTCTGCCATAACAGGAAAGTTTAGGAGAGTAATTCCTCCTTGAGGGCTCTTTTTCTCCCTGCCCCTTACCCCCCCCCAAGCCATGTGAGAACAAGAGGAAATGAAGAAAGCAAGCTGAGGGGTGGTGCTGACAAAGGAGGGACCTGCACAGGGGAGGGGGCTGAGGTTCCCCAGCCACTGCTTTCAGACACCACCCCAGCCCCTCCCCACAAGGTCCAAGTAAATTATTCCCAGATGTTTCCGTATTCATATTATTAATAATAATAGCCAGTACATACATAAAGGCAGTCCTGGGCAGGAATGAGTGGGAGAGTGGAGTTGTTAGTGAAAGGAGGCATCTGGTTAATTCAGATGCCTGCAAAACCTCCTTCATAGGATATGGGTCTAACTCTCTCCAGGGCAGTGCCTTGGCCCCCTGCACCAGGGTCCCCTCCCTGTGTCTCACCACGAATAGACCCACAGCTATGACAAGGTTCTACTTCCTTTGGGGAGATTCCTCACTGTCCCCTCTCTCCGACTTGAGGATGACTTATTTTGGATCTGGGCTGTCTCTCCTTCGGGAGTAACGCTTTTCTTACCTCAGTAGGTGTGTGGTGAAATACCCCGCCTCCCCCCAGCTTGCGGGGCAGAAACGGCTGCTGCCCAGGCATGCGCTCTTAAAGGCGCAGTGCGGGCTCGCGGAGGCTCTCGTCGCTGCCACAGTTAAGTGTTAGGAATAGAATAACATGGACAGGTGTCTCAACATAATGCCAAAGAGGCGCTGGACCCCTGAGAAGATAGTAAGGAGCATGGTTAGGTTGGCACTTCGGTCTCTTTGCCCTTCGTAGTCCAGAAAGTCTCGAGTTAAATATTTTTTAACCTTAGATCATCAAAGAGAAATGTAATTAGGGGAAGATGGGAGCAAAGTATTACTCACTGTGACATTTAAACAGATTTAAAACTTTTTCCCAAAGTGCCGCTTCATGGCCACAATGATTCCATCCACCAAGAGGGAGAAGGCTGGCCAGTGGCCGTGGGGTCTGGGAACAATGGCTTCTCATTTGCTCTCTGCATCTGGGGTTTACAATTTGTTGCTGATTCACCTTTAAGGGTGTAAGGAGCCCCACGTGGTGGGATCTCGGCTCAGGTGGTGTAGTTGTGCGAGCCTCTCCAGTTGCTACCTGCCCTTCCCTTCCCTTTTCCTCTCTTCCTCAAGGAGGGAGGAGGCCCTCTTTGTGCTCCATTTCCCTCCGGCTGAGCCACCATCACTCCCTTCCCTCTGGTACCCAGTGAACCACATCCCGCAGCCTTGGCCATGGCCCCATCCCCTCAGACCTCTCCTGCCTGTGAATCTCTCTGTCTAGACTGTGAACTGGTGGAGGGCAGGGGCTTAAGTAACCTGGCCCCTCTTCTCTGCAGCCACCCTTGACAGGCGTGGGCATACAATAGATGCTCAGGATGGAGTTTCTAGACACCAATTTCTAATCTGACTTTGAGGGTCCATGCTGTATTCATTCAAATGGACTCTAAGGATGGGGAGTTGCAGGGTCCCAGGCAGACTCTCCAGAAGGAGTTCAGAGTCCAGGATGAGAACAAGCAGTTTAGAACCCACACAGCAGCTTGGCTTAGAGGTACGACCACTCACTCATTCTTGCATTGATCCAGCCCTTCCAGTCTCCCACTGGAAGCAGCAGAGAAAGGAGAGGCCTGGGAACAACCCGGCTGTCTCATTGGAGAGACCAAAGTCACACAAGTGAAAAGGGGAGCAGCAAACAGCAGCAGACGGTTAAATGTCCTCCAGGGCTGAGGAGTTCCACATCCGCCTGCGAGAAAGCAGACAACGTGTGATGATCTGTGATGGAGGTAGCAGCTTTGAGGAGACAGGAGCCCTGCTGAAGGCAGGATGCAGAAGTGGGTAGGTGGCCAGAGACCTGGGTGATGGCTGGGCCTCAGGGCCAGGAAGGCAAGAAGCATCTGGTTCTCCAAGGTTTTGTTGAGAACAAGCTGAAAAACATAGCTGCGATCTGCGCAGGGCTCCCCTACAAAAGACCAGACTTCCAATTAAAGTCTTTCTGGAGTGACTGCTCTGCCCAGCCCTGCAGAGGGCAGTGAGGGGAGGCTGGAGGAGGGGAGGGGGAGAGAGAGGGGGAGAGAGACTCGCTTGCTGTAGAGAGCTCGTGTGTTGTTTGGGCAGAGAGCGACTCAGAGA